GACACCTGCTATATGGAGACTGACACAGACTAGTGACCTGTGAACCACACCTGCAGGGTTTTTAGCCTCATCTGAAAAGCTGTGTGCTGAATGGGTGGTCGCTCAACACATAGGAGATTTCATTTGACAGAAGGAGCAGGGTGCAGGATAGTAAGCATCATGCCCCAGGGTAGTCAGTGCTAAGGGCACGGTCGGGGAGGGGTCTCTCTGGTCAGGTTGCTTCTGGTCTGAGTGCCTCGCTTGGGCAGAGGAAGGGTGAGGAGGGTCAGGCAGGCAGCAGCATGGCCACATGCAGCGAGGGCTCTGTGTACTGGAGCAGAGAGGAAAGGGAACCACAGGAAAGTGGGGGCTGTTTTACTGACCGCTCATCCCCAGATTGGACCAGGGCGAGTCCGGTGAGGTAGAGAGACTTCCTGTTAACCCTTCCCTCCCACTCCCTTACCACAGGTTTTTTGGTTTGTAATCTGGGTCAAGTGTGACTCCAGACCAGAGGTAGCACTGGCCAGGAGCAATCTTGAAAACTAGTGATCTCAGAGGGGAGAAAGGAGAGAGAGAGAGAGAGAGAGAGAGAGAGAGAGAGAGAGAGAGAGAGAGAGAGAGAGAGAGAGAGAGAGAGGACACAGCTGGACTTCGTGAGATGGCCTGCTGGGCCGTGTGTGTCTTTGTTCTGTCCCCAGTTATGGTCTCTCGGCCGAGAGAGCATTCATCTAAGAACTCCACGCCTCTGTCCTTCCTAATTTTACCCTGGGGGCTGTGACTCGAGTGCAGTGTTTGCTCTGTACCAGACACACAGCTCTCAGAGGCCTAACAGAGCCAGTGCATGGATGTATCCCAGTGTGCGCACATGGAACACATTCCCGCATGCCGGCTGCACCAGAAGCAACCGCGCGTTAGCAGCAAACACTGCATAGCCGTCTTATCGTTGAGGCTTGCGGGGAAGCCACTCATGTAGCAGGAGTGTGGATGCCAGGAAAGGAGGCCCAGGGAGAGAAAGGTAGATGAAATTGGATGTTGGAATCCTCAGAGCAGAATGTAACTGATTTTCTTATGTGTGAGAAACTTTATGTTAAGGTGCTAACAGTTACTCATTTATATTTCAACCCATGTTAAGGAAAAATGCTTCTGGCGTGTATTTTGGAACCCCTTCTGACACTAGTTAGGATTTCTACATAGGTTTGTGTATGCACTCAGCTCTTGGGTCCTTACACGACAGGGGTTCTCAGGCTGTGAGAAGTCCCCCAACAGCAAAGCATTGGTGGAAGAATGAGCTACCCGCCTAGGAAGGGTGCTGCAGCTTTGGATTGCATCCCAAGACATCTATCTAAAGATTGCCAGATTGTCAATTCTTCTCTTAATCATTGGACGATTAAACATGGAGGCACTAAAACCGAATCTGAGACCCCCAAACTACACAGCCAGCCTTGAGACTAGGCGGAGTGACAGCCAAGGGCCAAGTGTTCTTCACACGGATCATCTGTAACCTCTTCATGCCGTTCATTTCAGGGCATCTCATGTCTCAGCCTTCAGGAACCAAGCCTTTGTGGTACAATATCTAAGGGTGGGGAGTAGTATCGGTAGACTTGCCTCACATGCAGGCAATGCTTTGGGGAGTGGAGGATGGTCTACGTCACGTTCTGCTCACAGCTGGATGGAACATAGGAGGCGTTACAACACCGGGACAGTTGAGGCGTTTCAGAGAAAGGGTTAAAAGCTGGGTTTGGGTCCTATATTGCCTGGGAACATAATTAGTGATGAAAGGATCTTGGTTGTGGGAGAAGAGCCGAGTGATGGGAGTGTGTGGGTCTATAGTACAGTGTCATCGCCCCAAAGTATGACAGGAGCAGAGGGGGCAGGGTGGTCATCAGCCATGTGTGTCTCTGCCCCTGAGCTCTTCATGCAGGCAGCGGCATGGAGTGAGGACCCGGGAAGCAGTGCCTTCCCTAGAAAGTAAACGTTGAGCTTCTGATACAAAGTTACATTAGCACAGTTCTGAAGAATCTTCTGTTGGCCAAACACAAGCACAGCTCGCCGACCTTAGCACGAGCAGAGCCCTTTACCCGGAAGAGAATTGCTATGAAGAAATGCGGCTGTGTCTGACTTGAATCTAAATGTGCGCGTCTCTTGTCTCGTTGATGTCCAGACTGAGAGGTAAACTGTTGCAGCAGGCATGTTTGTAACCTAATGGAATGTGTCCTAAAGGACAAACCTCCTCCTGTCCCTTACGCTCACAGAGGCCACCCCCCCATTGAGAATAAAGAGCAAGTGGGCTGCACAGGGCGTGAGACTCACCGCAGGGACTAAAGTCCTTCCTACACTTTGGTTGGAATTCACCTTCCACTCCCAGCCTTCTGGTCTGTAAACACTGGCGTGTGTCCCTATTTTCTTCACTGAGCCGTAAGGCTCTCTGGGTTCTGGCAGTTGTGTAGTGTTACATAGTCACAGCTATAATATCACAGGATAATTTCTTGACCCCACAAGATCTACTGTGTTTCACCCAGCCAGCTGCCCTCCTTTCTTCTTGGACTCAGACAATTACTAATCTTTTTCCTTTTTGCCCTAGTTGATGACGACTTCTTCTTCTTCTTCTTCTTCTTCTTCTTCTTCTTCTTCTTCTTCTTCTTCTTCTTCTTCTTCTTCTTCTTCTTCTTCTTCTTCTTCTTCTTCTTCCTCTTCCTCTTCCTCTTCTCCTTCTCCTCCTCCTCCTTGTCCTCCTCCTCCTTCCTCCTCCTCCTTCCATCTTCCTCCTTCAATGTTATACAGCTGCAATTATTTAATGAATGTCCCCAGAGGGTAGCTTTTCTCCCTGTCAAGACTCTTCTAATGTTTAGTTATGTACACAGTCTGTCTGTGTCTTCACTGACTAGAAGGCAGCTCGGATGCCCCCACAATTAGCAGACTATGGAAGAAAGTCATTCACATGTTCACCTGCAGGTCTTTATGGGGCTCACTCTGAGTGTAGTGAGGGATAGTATGATCCTGTCATACAGGACAACTTTTGTTTTAATGTGATACTAAGCTAACAACCCATCTTCTGAAACAGCACACGGCTTGGATACTGACCAGCTGGGAGCAAGGATTGACGTTCTGCCTCTCCACACCAACAGCTAGTGCCCTGGGGATTCTGGGCTCCAGCCATCATAATAACTATGTGGTTGAGCCTTGTTTCCATGTCACCTCCAGTGCAATAATGGCCAATTAGTGCCTTTTCTGCGTTTATCTGTGATATTCGCATCTTCTTTGTTTGGGCGTTTGCTCAGGGTTAGGGTCTATTTTTAAAGGCTGGCTATCTGTTTGCTTATGGCTGACTCTCAAGGCTGTATTTTGGATGCAGGTTCTTTATGTAATATACAGCCTGCAAACAGGACGTAGCTACGATGCATTGGAATAACACAGAGCCCAAGTCAACAACGGTCCGTGCAGCCCAGCTTTCTCAGATACAGGGAAGGGGGGCCTGAGAGGTAAAAATCTCTTCAGGAAAAAAGTGGGAGGGTGATTCCTTTAGTTTCGCAGGATGCCCCTTCTCGAGGTCATAGACCAGAGACTGAAGACACACGGAGAGTCCCTGTTCACAGCGCGGGCATCCTGCTAGGTGGGTGACAAGAACACAGCAGTCACGGGCATCTGGAAACTTAGCACGAAGTCCGCAAGGTGTGGAATGGAGTATGGGGAGTCAACTTTTGTGGACACAGGAGAAAGGAGTATCATCCGTACATCAGCTGTCTCCCACACGGTCCCCACGCAGCCACCTTCATTCCAGCGCCCGATTCGTGTTCTCTGTGTAGGGATGTCCCTTGCCATGCCAGGTGAGCTCTCTGGTCCAAGGAGCCTTTTGCCTTTGGCATCTTGCAGGGACTTTGAAATCGGAGTCTGTTCCGAAGGTGCCCCTTTGCCCTGCGTGGTTAAAATCAGTGATCCTCCCTTCCCTCCTGTGCTGTGTGTGCCTCAGCCGACCGTTTGGTGACTGGTTGCACTGAAGGACGCCATCTGCCTTCTCAGCCACCCTCTTTCCACTACAAGATCCTCACAGCTGTGACTTGAGTGCTCGGCAGAATCAACTAACACGTGTGGATTCTTGGCCCGCTCTCCGCAGGTGTAAAGTTAGGCTTAGTTTCCTTCCTTTGCTTTTTTTATTATTATATTTTATTTTTTTACGTCAGAGTCAACTCTCTCCTGGTGCTGTCATCCAACCATCCCCGCCGGCAGCCGTTTGCGGGATCTCAGTGGACGTGGGGTAGTGGGAGAAATTTTCACACCCGACTAGTGTTTGGGATTATTTTAATCTAAAAAGATGTACCTTTATATTTTTGACATGAAAACACATGTCAGATGACTTCGTCTTACCGACAGCCAACTGCTTTCATTGGACTAAGCTGCGCTGACCAGCGGGTGGAGAAGTGACAAGGGTGTTCATTGGTTAGACACTGGCTGTGCTCCCTGTGGAATGGGAGGGATGTGAGTTGACAGGCGTCACAATGAACAGCTGCCACACACACATTCATCCGTCACTTTGACACCCATCCAAGGTGCATTGCTGGGTTCAGTTGATGATAACTGTTTACCTCTGCGTAAGCGCCTCACGCAACGTAGCGTCTGATAGAAAGGCACAGTCTGGTTCGAGGGCCACGCCGGAATGGACAGTTGAGGAGTCATTGATTGATGTGACTCACCATTTACCGCTCAAAACTGCTGCGTTCCGACTCTGTGCTCCTCCGTTTTCCTCTTTTATTGTGGTCAGAGCACAAGACGCTGTCTTACAGCATCTGGGCATTACCTGCTAAGATTTAACGGCATCTCATGGAGCCCTCGCCTGTTGCCCCTGTTGCTTCCAGAGCCTCGCCCCTTTGTCAAGCCGTGGCCAGCTTCCCTCTAGCCCACACCCGCCTGTCCTGGCTCTCTGCAGCAGAGGGGTTACCGAGTTCTAGCAGTGTGTCTGTACACTGTGAGTTTCCTGTCTGAGGATGCCGCACGGGTGAACTTTATTCTCTGTGATTCCTTTGCAGGTTTGACGGATGAGAAAGTGAAGGCCTACCTCTCTCTCCACCCCCAGGTCTTAGATGAGTTTGTTTCCGAAAGTGTAAGTGCAGAGACCGTAGAAAAATGGCTGAAGAGGAAGAACAACAAAATCGAAGGTAAGATGCTCTCGCCCGCTCGCCCGCCCGCCAAGTGTGCGTGTGCAGGTTTCAGACCAAACTTTCCCGGCTCATAGCGGGATAACAGGTTTTAGAAGACAAAACATGTTTAATCCGAGCACTCAGGAGGCAGAGGTAGGTGGATCTCTGTAAGTACAAGGCCAGCCTGGTCTACAGATCCAGTTCCAGGACAGCCAGGGCTACGCAGAGAAACCATGTCGTGAATAACTGAGAAAGGAAGAAAGACAGAAAGGAAGCAAGACATGAAATAGAAGCGTGTATTTTATTTATACTTTTCTTAAGATAACATCATTAGAAAGAGGATTTGAACAAATATGAGAGAAACATCCTTTACTAAAAAAAAAAAAGACTTGGCAAATAATTGCTGAGAATTTACTTAGTGCTTACTGTATCCGTCAGCTTGGAGTCACTGCAGTGCCATAGCCGAGCCTATGAACTGAAAGGTGGAAAGATTCCTCTGTTTGCAGTTCAAGATCTGATAGCCCCGTAGCTTTTGGTCTCTGGCAAGGACAGCGGATGGCAGTGACAGGGACGTGTGTCGGAAGAGCTCATGGTCACCAGCTCCGGGAAGAGAGGCAGAGGGAGGAGACTGGGGTTCCATGGGACTCCAAGTGTGCTCCGGCTGGCCACAGCACACGCAGGGCAACCACCCTGTTGGCCAAGGGGACCATGCCAACGATTAGTACTGATTAGAAAATCATAGTTTATGTTCATATCTCTAGACACTACATTTTATACAAGGCAGTCTGAAAACACCATGCAGGCTTGTCTTTGACCCCCCCTCTCCCCTCCCCCTTCCCCTCCCCTCCCTCCCCCTCCCCTTCCTCTTCCCCTCCCCTTCCCTCCTCCCACTCCCCTTCCCTCCTCCTCCCACCCTCCCTCCCTCCCCTACCAGAATGGAACCACCAGTGTTGAAAAGAGGATGACCCTTCTTGGTACAATGCAGACAGGCCAGAAAGGCTTGAGAGGAGCTGTTTTAAAGCTCAAGTCTTGGTGGGCTGCCTATGCTCTGGTAGATACTGCCCCCCAGTGGTCATGCAGGTAACCCTGCGTAAGCTCAGTGGGTCACACACCAAAGACAGGTTGCTGGGAATAGGGCTTCAGTGGGAGAAGGCTGAGAAGGACTGAGATTCGTCTGGTGGTATTGAGGAATGTTAAACTACACAGGGCAGGTTGTCGTACGATATTCATTTAGGGAGAAGTCACTTACATGAGAAGCTGAGAACCCAAGGTCCGCTCGCTGCTCTCCCAGACCCAACGGGAACCCCAAGAGAGAGGAAGTCTCCCAAGTCTCCTTTCCTCCAGCTCTTTATCTCCCTTCCCCCTGTGGCTACGCCCAAATGGGCAGGGTCATCGGTACAGGTCCCTAAGATCTCTCCCTACAATGTGAATGCATGCAATTGTGAAGGAATAAAAAAAAAATAAGCATCTAGATTCCTGGACTTTCAGGCACATTGTATTTGAAATTTATGCAAAATACCATTTTTAGGGGAGGGACCCCTTTGTTTTTCTCTTATTCTCAGAAATGTATTCATCTTTTAATTAGTTACTTTTGCAGGTGAAATAATAGGAAACAGAGCTTCACCTATGCTGGGCAAGTACTCTGCCACCAAGCTATATCTCCAGGCCTTAAAAGTGCATTTATTTTAAACACAGATTGCTTGAGAAACACTTCTATTCATGAAAGTAGAAGCATAGACTCAAAGGGTGTGTGAGGTTGAATACATATCCCCTCAAAATGAGTTTCCTTTGCATACTGCAGCATAATTTTCCTTGTTTCTAAGTTTCTATTTGGCTACTTGACCAAATTTGGCCTCTCCTTTTTATGCATGCTGTTCTCACAGGCACAGTTAATTCTACTTGGAGGAACTTTTGTGTTAACAGCAGGATAGTAGTTCCAGGGTAGTTTTCTTAGTGTGGTAAGCATTTTAACTCCCGTCTAACACAGTGAGGGAGTGCTGTGAAGTTATAGTAGAAACAGAGGCGATTTCCGTGCTCCGAGTCTGTCTTTATGGTCTCCGAAAGTATTGCAATGAAAACAAACATTGACAAAAGAGATCTTTCTCCCTGAGCTCTGAAGCAGCCACAGTGACTTGTCCAGTGTCTGCAAGTACGAGTGCATGCGAGCGTGTGTTCTTGAGAGGAAGAAACGTGGGAACAAATTGGAGATCAGCGCCTTCCTCTAAAGGAACTGGAGGTCGGTGCTTTCCTCTCAGGACAGACCTGTCATCGACCCAAGGACAGAGCTTAGCCACCACCGTGTTCCGTCGTGTGAATCAGAGACTGGAAAGCAGTTTGAGGTTGTTGACACGTTGAGAAGGGAGGCTGAGCTCTGAGGGACCTCCTGGCTAATGATGCCTGTTTTGGGGCAGGGAAGACGGCTCAGCCCTGCTCACGTGGCTGCCACAAGGCACAGGGTTTTGAGTCCAGATCTCCAGCACCCATGTAAGAACCTGGCGTCGTGGTGGCCACCAGCAACCCCAGTGGCAGGGTGCATGTGGCAGTAAAGACAACTGAATCTGTAAAGTTCACTGACCAGCCTGCCTGACCAACTCAGGGAGTGCAATATTAGGGAGAGACCCTGCCTCAAAAAAAAACCTAAGGAGGCTTAGTAACTGACTGAGGAAATACCCAGTGTCAAACTCTTGTCTCTACATGAATACACACACACACACACACACACACACACACACACATACATATCCTCTTTTTTCCACATGAATACATACACACACTTTACATGAATACACACAGACACACACACACTTTTCTCTACATGAATACACACATTTGTCTCTACGTGAATACACACACACCCTCTTTTTTCCACATAAATACATACACACACTTTTTTCTACATTAACACACACACACTTTTCTCTACATTAATACATACATACACACACAAACACTTTTCTCTACATGAATACACACATTTGTCTCTATGTGGGTACACACACACACTCTTTTCTCTACATGAATACACACATTTGTCTCTACATGAATACACACACACCCTCTTTTTTCCACATAAATACATACACACACTTTTTTCTACATTAATACACACACACTTTTCTCTACATTAATACATACATACACACACACACAAACACTTTTCTCTACATGAATACACACATTTGTCTCTATGTGGATACACACACATACAGACACACGACTCATTTCAATTTACTATGTAATAAGGGATAATGTAATACAAAAACATGAAACTTATGGGACATGTCTTAGTGTGTCTGTTGCTATGATAAAACACTATGGCCATAAGCAACTGCAGTTGGTTGGTAGTCAGGGAAAATCTGACAGGAGAAGGGCAGGGAAAGGGGTCCCAGGATGGGGGCGACCCCTTGACCTCTCAGATTAGAGCTTGAGCAGTGTTCTGTCTTCAGGACAATTATATTGCTTTCTTACCATTTTCATTTCAAATGCAGCTGAGATGCTGTGTGACTATGTATGTGTGTATGCATGTGTGTGTATGTGAATATGTCTGTAAGTGTATATGCATGTGTGTGTATGTCTGCTGAGTGTATGCATGTGTGCGTTATGCGTTGTACCTGTGCTCACATGTGTGCAGAGGTGAGTAAACCTGGTATTACTCCTCAGGAGTCATCCACCTTGGTGTCTGAAACAGGGTCTCTTCATTTCTCCTCTCCCCAGCACCAGCATTACAATTGTGAGCAGCTAGCCAGCTCTCTACATGGGTGCTGGGGTCACACGCAGGTTCCCTCACTGAGCTCCCCATTGTCTTCTCAGCCCTGAAAATTGTTTTCTGAAGTTGACCTTGAATCTAAGTTCCTGATGATCCATCTTAAAGTGACGTTTAGAGCTGGGGTTTGCATTTCATTTCCCTTACAAGTGATGATCCATTTTAAAGTGACGTTAGAGCTGGGGTTTGCGTTTTATTTCCCTTATAAGCGATTTTACTCCCCTGGGAAGAATCAGGAGTTCCTCAGAACAGAGGGCGACTTCCAGGGGTTCACACCACTCTCACCAAACATCCTCTTATGCATCGGAGAGAAATGAAATCTTGGAAAGAATTACATTTCATATTTAATCCTGCCTAACATTGTACCCTCATGTTCACCTGTATGTGAACCACATATGACAGTCCCACTGGTGCCCTTTGGGACTCAGAGGTTACTGTAGCAGTTAGCACCTGCACATCCGTGTCCCACACAGCACAGACACTAGGCTATGTGGTGGCCCAGTTCTCTGCACTTCTTGCAAGAGTCTCCCAGATAGGACCTGATCCCACACTGTAAACACTGTTGTTCTCTTGTGGGCAAGAACCAAAAACGTAACCTCAGCTGTCAACAGTGTCTCGTCTTTGGCTATCAGTTTGGGCCGTGTTAGAAAGGCTGGCCAACTGGCGTACAGCATGACCACATTTGGTGTCCTTGATGCTGGGATGATGTTTAGAGTATTAATAAAACCTGAAATTCCAATGTAATATTAGTCTCTGAGGCAAGTTTATTTAGTACCCGAGAAGGTGGTGCATTGACCTAAATAATTAATTTACGGGTTGTTGGGAGAGTGCCGTCCTTTATGGCCTGTGGTTTTGTGTGTGGCATGTTCTGGAACAGACACTGCCACTACTTTTGACGTTTAATGATTAATATTGAAAGTGTTATCAGTAACCTTAAATTTTTAATTTTTACATGGCTATATATATATAAGTAGTTATCACATGGTATTTTTCTCTTTTATGTAATTCTGGAGGTGGGATTTATTATTATCCAGATGAAATTCTTATACATTTCACACATAGAATAAAGATTTTAAAATCATTTCACCCCGACCTACTATTTGATAGCCTGGGGTTCAGATTTAACTGCATTTAAACTGGCTAATATCTAACAGATGGCTTCTATGCAAGTGTGTAATGTAACAGCAGCTTAAACTAATGAGGCACAAGTTCCCTTGCCAGAGCACACAGCCTTGGGAGGTTGTCGTTTGTAGAA